CCGGGCAGAGAGAGGTCGTCGACCTCTGGATCCGGGTCGCCCTGTTTCCAAACACAGCATGGATCCCCGAGCTCAAGCCCGTTGGTCCGGTTGTCTCCGTCCGAGTCCCTCTCGCAGAGCCAGCGCGTCCAAGTGCGATCGGCATAGACCTCTCGCGCGAAGTCTTCTGCGAACTTGTTTTGGTTACCGACCCCCCCCCTGCCCGACTTTGCGTGGCCGACGGAGTCTCGCGAGTAGCCGAGTTCTGCATGGACCGCGTCCGCCAGCGGTTTGCCGTTGGGGATCCTCGCCAGGTAGATTTCTTCCGCTCGGGCGAGGGGAAGGAGGAGGGCGAGGAGCCGGGCTACAACCATGACGGTAGACACGGTTGAGACTTGCTGTAAGACCGCTAGAACGGCGGCTCAGGCGGCTCGGCGGCGTGCAGTCGGCGGCGTTGAGCTGCAAAATCGGTCAAAGAAATCTCGTGCAAGAAAAAGACGCCCCCGCAACATGATTGGAAGCTGGCGAGCAATCTGCCGACGCCGAGCCCCCCGACAGCTTGGGAACTCTTCACAACCTCCTCTCATCGACCACCACATCTTCAAACCAATGCTCGGCCTCTCGCTGTACGCTCTCGCGGCCGACCCGCCCCCCTTCCACCCCGTCTCCATCCCCCACTCGGGCCTCGTCGACGGCAGCTCGTCGACGGCGCTCATCTCGGCGCTCGCCTCGTCGGGGGTCGTTGCCATCAAGGGCATCCCGGGCTACGCGGCCCTCCGCTCGGACATCCTCGCGGCGACCCCGGCGTGTGCGGCGACGCCCGCCGCCGCCGCGCACACCTTCCCCGACGGCACCACCCGCCGCACGCTCGCCACGCACAGCCTTCCGGGCGCGGGCGGGGTGCAGCCCCTCGCCTCGGCCGAGGGGGAGTGCGCCGCGTTTGAGCGCGCGGCCGCGCCCTTCCGCGCGCTGGTGGCGGCCGCGACCAACCTCTTCGCCGAGCGCCTCTCCTCCTCCCTCCGCGCGCGCGCGCCCCTCCTCGTCGCGGAAGACGGGACCGAGTTCAACTCTCTGCACGACGTGTCGACGGCGGGCGAGCACCTCGAGCACTTCCACGCCTACACGCGGGCGACTCCCTCCTCGCACGGCCCCGCCTCTCCCCCGACCATCGACCTCCACACCGACCAAGGCATCTTCATCGCCTTCACGCCCGCGCTGATGGTCTCCGCCACAGGGGAGCCGGACGCGGCTGCAGACGCGGGCCGCTTCGAGGTCGGGCTGGCGGACGGGTCGCGCGCGGAGGCGCACTTCGACCCCGACTCGCTCGTCTTCCTCCTCGGCGACGGCATCCACCAGGTCCTCCCCAAGGACGCGGCTCCGCGCCTGCGCGCGGCGCCGCACGCGCTGTCCGCCCCGCCGACCGGGGCCGGGGGGGCGCGGGCGTGGTACGGGCGGATGGTGCTGCCGCCCAAGGAGGCGGTGATCCCCGCCTCCCTCTCCGAGAACCGCAAGACCTTCGGAACCCTGCGCGCCATCATGGTGGAGGCGACCTTGGGCGGCGTCGAGGACCCAGAGGCGACGGCTCACCGGACCCCCCCCCC